GGGTTTGGGTTATCATTGCATGTCATCATTGCGCAGGGGCAATAGGCCAAGGGCTTTGCACCACGAGTGGACTGATCCTCTACATTTTGAATGCATTGGGACTTGTTCAGCTCCAGATGCATTTTTAATATTGTGGAGCGCCAACAGCATGTGCCAAAGGTAGACACAGTCCATCCGTGTGAAAGCGTGGGGAAAAAAAAGAAGGAATAAAAAGTAGAGAAAATACATTTGCACGACCTTCTTTGGCACCTGAGGTTCAACAGCAACAACGTGACACAGGCTGGTACTGATACCACGCTATTTTTTTCAAAGGCCAGTAGTCCCCGTACCCATCCGTTTATTCAAAAAAAAAAAAAAAAAAAAAAAAAAAAACTTATGATGGTTCTGGCTCCTCATCCATTCTAGGGAGCGTCAATCCGGTTCCTATTCCAGCGGCAAGTCAGAAGGGAATACAATAAAAAAAGTATTTAAAAATTAAAAAAAACTTATGATTGTTACGAGCTTTGGGTTAAGGACTTAACTCATGTTGGGTTTGCCTTCCCCCTTCTTCACGTACTTGATAATACCCCCCTACCCTTGCCACTATACCTTAAACCCTAGCTTAACTCATGTTGGGTTTGCCTTCCCCCTTCTTTACGTACTTGATGGTACCTCCTTTCCCTTGCTACTATACCTTAAACCCTAGCAAACCTAGGATTGAATATATTAATAATAATATTATTATATTGCTGCTTGCTGTCCTTGATTCTTAAACCCTCAATGCTGGAAAGTCTTCAAACCGCCATTACACGGCCCCAGCCTTGCTGAAAAGAAAACTCGTCGCCTACGAAAATTTTGGAGGCCCAGCGCTGTAGATAAATTGAATCGGAGGTGGGCGGCCTCCGAAAAGGGCCCGCGACCGATACCCGGATGCTGGATGTACTGGTTGCTTAACTGTGGTCTCGATGGTGTCTGTTGATGAGAGAGGTTAAGGTTTTTGTAAGTGAGGGGGGTCTAACTGGGTGTGGTGTGTGAACTCTTGGTGGTTTTTTTTTTTTTTTTTTTTCAAGTAAAACGGCACTGTCTCGCTGCAACTGTCGAAATGCAGACCGGAGGTCAAATCCTGATGGAATCAGATGAGTGAAAATTAATTCGGCATTTACCTGGGGCAAAAGCATAGGTTGGTATCCCATCCTACGAATCCCACCTGTCGAAATGCAGACCGGAACTCAAATCCCGTTGGAATCAGACGAGTGAAAATTAATTTGGCTTCTACCTGGGGCGAATCATTCAAAGATGATCTCTCTCAAGTCCTTTGCCCTTTCAAGAAAAAGAAACAAAGGTGCAGAGTGCCGGGAGAATGAAACGTATACGAGGAATGAATACATATAGATACATCCCAGTTCTCAAAGTGCAACAAGGCAATCCAGTCAAGAGTGTCGAGAGAATGAAACCTATACGAGGAATGAATACATAGATACATCCCAGTTCTCGAAGTCCAACAAGAGAATGCAGCACTCTTTATGAAAGTTTATAACTTTATATATTGAAAGCATACATGCGGCGCACCTCCAAAAATGGGGGTCGAAAAAAAAAAAAAAAGTTGTGAGGGGCGGTAGTAGACCCGGCCCCCTGCTCGCGTAAAATAAGAAACGGGCAGCCAATTTTTTTTTGGAGGCCGCGCGTTGGCCTGAAAGCTTGTAGTAACTTGTAGTCCGCGTAACACTCTGTGTGCACGGTAGGGTTCTTGCAGTCTGTAGGGTAGGTTCTTGCAGGCCAGATTCAGTCATGATGACGGTCGCGACCTCTCAAAACGTTCTCTTCTTATTACTTCTGAAGTTCTGAAGTAGAAAACGACGGAACTGACAGCCGTTTTTCCTGGAGGTTTTTTTTTTTTAATAAAAAGAGAAAAACGTAAGGAAGAAAATCAGAATTTCTCTGCACGAGCGAAGCCCGGCGCGTCCAACCTGTCAGAACCTCAACGGTAGTGTTCACCAACGGGCTCGCTGCACGACACACACGGAGAATTCGATCGGAAACTCTCTTCTTATGGCAATGTATCTTTCCATGTTCAAGCGGAGGATTCAATCTCATTTGTTAAGAGATTCTCCAAAAAAAAAAAAAAAAAGGTTCTAGAGATACGTTACGTCCTTACCTGATTCAACAGCCCTACGCTCAACGTATGAGCAAAATGGGAATGAATCTTCCGCCAGAACATGGAAAGATACACCGCCATATTTTTTGTCCTTTGTGCATG